CCCCAGGAAAGTGTGAGAAGACTTCAGCCTCCCTGAGGAAGAATGTAATGTTCTGCTGCTGTGTAATGACAAGAGGTGGAACTGGTAGTAGAGTTACCACGCAGTTAAATATTCAGAACTCATAATGTTTCATGGTGCAAATGCCCCTGGGAAGAGAAATAAACTCTTTTCTATGGCAGAGCAATAAATATTTATATACCATATTGCCCAAAGACCTCCATCTTGTGGAAGTTTTGTGTGGAAGTGGAGTGTGGAAGGGAGCTGAGTTTGCAGAAAAGAAAAAAGTGCAGTCTGTCTCTTGCATTTACAACCTGAAGATATGGACAGGTAGAGGAAGAGTTTGTTTATATCTCATGCAAAGAGAATAGCACATTGGAGAATTTGCAGAGAATTTGGTGACTACAAGCATTACAGGAGTGCTGCTGCTTTTCCCTTTCTTTGTCTTCATGCTGTTTAGGAGAAAATCATATAAGATCTTTGAATCAACAGAGCTGACAGATTAGCAAATTTTACTTTTTGATGGAAGGAAAATTGACTGTAATTGTAGTTTCTTCTTGAACAATCTAGCCTGAGTAACCAATATGGACAGAAGAGAAGGAACCAAAACCCTCCTGAGAACAGAACATTAACCTTCCCAACTTTCACAAATGCTCATTGACACACTCCCTTCTTAGAAGAATATAATCGGTGGAGAAAAAGAAGAGAATCAAAGATTACAGGCAAATCATTCTCACCCACACAGACTGTGTTAAAGGTATTTTGCAGAAGTACAAGCATCATATACTTAAATGTAACACCCACAGCACCTATTCATAAGACACCACATGAAAGAAATAAGTTTCAACTTGATTTTCTATGTCAGGGAGTTTAAGTTATCTCCCTAAGACATCAAAGCAGCAAAACTACAGTCTTAAGTCAGACAAGTAAGGCTTGAAGATTCACAGGAGCATCACAAACAACCCATCTCCCATTGCAGGCATGAGATGAGAAGTTCTTTGCACATCTAATGAATTCCAAATGCTCCTCAGATATTAATTAGACTGGGAGGCACAATATTCATCTAAGAAGAAGAGTTATTCACAAGTTACAGATTGGGAAACTGAGGCATTATTACCATGGCCAAAACTCCAAAAATCACTCTCTGATTTTACAGACATACTACTTGTTTTCCATCCAGAACTAGAAAAAGTATAAAGATGTCTGAGAATTTCCAAACAAAATTTTTTGTTTTGCTTCTCCATTAAGCATGTCAAATTGTCAATAGCAGAATGTTTCACAGTAACACATGAATTTAGATGAACCTCTGCTAAAAAACAAACACATCAGGAAGTCAATAGAAACTGCTTTGTCCAGATTCCTGAGGTCATTTCTGGGGCAGTCCCTCTGTATGGACTACCAAAAACTTAGCAGCCCACAAAATTATGAGGTTCCTGTGGCATGGTTAGGAGCCCAGAAACCCAGGCTATAGCAGAAGTTTTTCAGTGTCTTAATTCTCCAGTTTTCCAGAAGCCTGGAGAGGTCTAGCTAACATCTAGAAGTATGACAGTCTTCAGCTTAAACTTTAAAGGCTTTTGGTCTTCTAAGAGCAGCTCAGTAAGAAGCAAGAAAAACAACTGTTAGGAAGACTTAGGAGGAGCAACTAAGGGAATTAGGGTTGTTTACTCTGTAGAAGAGAAGGCTAAGGGGATACCTCATGACTCTCTACAACTACCTGAAAGGAAGTTGCAGCAAGGAGAGGATAGTTATTAAAATTGCTTTGCAGAACAGCAATGCTCCAATTCAACCTACTCTTTGCTGTTGCTGCTCTACGTTTGCGGTGATCTCGGCTCCCTTGCTTTCTTTTTGCATGCAAGGACTGACTTTTTAAAATACTGGACACTGAATATGATGGACACTGCAAATATCAGGCAAAGTCACTAGGAATTCATATTTCACCTCTTAAAGGTGTATATGGCACCAATGTGAAAGACAGAGATGAGGCCAGAGAGGACCCACTGGAAGAACACGCGCTAAGACTTGGAAAAGAGAAGGTAAAAGCAAGGAAGTCCTGTTACTTCCCTAGTAGTCATCAGCCTTCCATGTTTCTAGAATAGAACCTCAGGTTTGAGTTATGTTTAGATTTGGGCGGGCAAAAATGTGCCACACCAAAACCAGGGGCTATTTTGAAAATGACTGAAGTTTACAAATGCCAAAAGAAAGACAAAGGCACTCCGTTCCCAGGGGTCCACCACCTGGCAGGACTATTGAAGGAGGGGGTGGCCCTCACCTTGGGTGGCCTAGGGTTGCTTGCGGCACTTCAAAAGTCAAACCATCTCTGGCATTGAGGCTTTATTACATGTATGTGAATGTTTATCACTCGGAGCAAAATGTTATCCACATTTCTTTCTGGCAAGATGCTACCCCTTTCTGAGGTGTAGGAGAGAGGCTTTCAGCTGGGAGGGATTAATGATAAGTAATTCAAAGGAGAATTGTAAATTGAAGTCTACTCCAAAACACTTCTTAAATCCCTGAGTCATTAGAGGCTGAATCACATTATTACTGTCAGCAGGATTTCTTTATCACCCCCTATTTACTGTACATTACCTCATGGTCCTGGTCAAACTGTACAACTTTTACACAGAGATGAGGAATTTGACTCATCAGGATGAGTTTGACATGATGCAAGCTTTATTTCTGATGTTAGTTAGAAAACAACAATCCTGATTCAAGGATTTACTTAGGCTCACTGTACACACAAAAGAAGCTTTTCCTAACAAACAGGTCAAATAATAAGCCTTGTTTTCTGTTTTTCACATTTCACTTATTTACTGAAGCTCAGGGACGTCTGTTACAAGGGCAATTCTAAAAGTCAAAAGGTTACAGAATAAAGCACCACCCTTAAAAATTCATCATTTATCTGTCGAACAGTGACCTCATGGTGACTCTATCTCAGCTGCAAAGCCATTGATTGCATGGCTCTTCATTCTCCCTCTGTAAATCCTATAAAAAATTCTGAAATGTCAGAAGAAAATTTAACATACATCTTTTGTCATATATTAAAATAACGATGCAATATTAGAATAGATATTAGAATAATTATCACATATTTAGTTATTTGCAACAGTTCAGTATATAAGATTTGCTAAATTATCAGAAAAAGTAGACTGATTAATTTACGAATGTTTTAAAACTTGACTATAAAAATGTATACTCTCTAAATGTATATAATTTTAGTCTTACCAATATGACAGGTATTATTTTAAGGAGATAAGCTCCTCCAATTCAGATATTTAGTTCCTTTAGGCACAGATCTGTTGATGTTGGAAAGTCACAGAACTAGAATGTTTAAGCAAGATGCAAGATAAGGATCAAAATTAAATGGGAAGTTACTTTGGTTCATTTGTTTCAGTGATTAGAGAAACCATACTATTAAAATAGAGATTCAATTGTTTCGTGCTGCTTATGACACAACTGCTCAAAGGGCAGAATTAAGTATGAAAAATTTAGGAGTTAGAGCTTCATTCCTTGCTGAAAGAAAACACTCCAACTTGCAGTCAAACAGCAATATTTACAGTCTGGGGGATGACAAACTTCAAACTTCACCAACAAGATGCATCTCTTCAGTAATACACCTTAGGGACCTGAAGGTCAATCTGGACTCTTCTTCTCAGACATCACCTTCTGCAGCAGCAGTTCTTTAAACACAACAGACCTCTACATACAGAAGTGCAGCCTTACTATTGTTACTGTATCTTCTCCTTTCTTTGTAAATCTCTGTTACTTCTGTTACTTCATTTGTTATGAATAAGAGGAAGTGTTTGGGACTGAATTCCATATCCTGGTACAAGTTCATAGGGTATTTGCTAATAGCAACACATAGTTCATAGCATCACTGAGACAAAGCCTATGACCCAAACCAGTTTAGAGCCGCATTGCAGAGAGCCTTCCTCTAGCCAGCCTCTTAACCAAGAAAGTTATTATTGGAATTGTGCTTTTCCCTGATCACAGCTGAGGTTCTCCCGAGGCACACAGGAGATAAAACTAAGAGTAGTCTTACCGATCTAGAGTTTGGAATCACTCTATCAATTCAGACAGCAGCTGGCCTCTGGCAATATTTTTCTCCTTCATATTACTTAACATTTCCCCTCAGCCTCCTGGTTACAGGCATGAAGATAAAACCTGTGCATGTTAGCAGAAGTTGCATCAGATACTGCACACCTAGGCAGCTGTGCGGCAGTGGGATTTTCTACCTCTGCACAATCTTTCCTTATGTATCTTAGGGGATGAAAGACCTAAGCATTGAACATGAGAATGGTATGATCTTGAACAACTGAAAATCTGTTCCATCTTTCCATTCACCTACAAATTTACTCTTTCCAAGCTAATTACCCTTCTATAACAAGGAAAGCTGAATGCCTTTTCATCTTGTACAGAATAAGGTTTTCATTTTCAGAAGTCAGTAATGCCTCCTGTTAACTACACCAGCTCAGGATTACACAGGTTACTTCATGGAAGTCTTTCCTTCTATTTCTCCATCTCATTGGAGATACACATCTCAGCTTCTGAAAGGAAAAGGGATAAAGCTTAGGAAAAGCAAAATTTGCTTCAAAAAGGCCTTCTCGGGCTATGGTTTCACTATTCCTCAAAATTATTTTTTCTTAATAAAATATCCGACCCTTGTATTACTGAAGAATGCTCTTTCAACAAGGTCATGATGAAAGTGTATAAGCGATGGCATGATTTTCTGAGTACCCTTTAACCATCAGCTTGATAATATTAATTAGTTCAAATAGGAATCCTCATCAATGACTAGGGTTTGCAAAGAACAAAACTGCAGTGTCTTGCAAATGATTAACTTGTCAAATTTCTACTAAGTTGTTCACTTTCAACACAACTTTAACCAAGCAGTAGTTCTCCTTTAATATTAAATCCTCAAAAAAAAAAAAAAAAAAAAAAAAAAAAAAAAGAAAAAGAAAGAGGTCTTTCACTATTTGAATTTCAAGCCATTGTTGGTTGAAGCTGATGAAAAACTTGGAGACATAAGCTATTTCTGGCAAATGAAGGAACAAATCTTGGATATAATGATTGCATACATTGTCTCAGTAGTACATGTATGATGATGTTCAGTATGCCCCTACCATTATACAACTACCAATGCTTTGTTTTTTAGATCAAGGTAATATCCCTGTCTTCTTAATGTCATCCTGGGACTTCTGGATGCATTGCTCTGGCTGTTGAAGCAAAAAGAGTAACTGAAATTAGAACAGAAAACTGCGTAAGAAGACTTAAGTTGTGAAATATGAGTACATGGATGTTGTAGCTAACCTACAGAAATATTGACATCAGTTCATAGAAAATCTCTTGGAGGTCCTCAATAAGTAACAACTGGAAGGTTTGTTAGAGGAGAATGAGTCATGAGACAAAGCCTGCCTCTTAGTATATTAGTGAAATGTATGTGTTGTTTGGCTGTGTCTAAAGAACAGAACACTGAGGGCAACACAAACATTATATTCATGGATAGGTCAATATCAAAGATGATCTCTAGATCAAAACCTGGAAAATGCAAAATGTTCAGATTAGTATGCAAAATAAAACATCAATGTGGAGAGTGGATTTATATGATTATACTATGAATAATTCATTAGCACAAAAACACAATTAGCTTTTAAAAATGATCTAACTACTATGCTCATGTTTAGCAAATCTAACTTATAGTAACATCAGGAGGTAAAAGTCCATAATGCAAAAGATATTAAAACAAATTCCTTTAGGAGTCCAGATGCTTTATTACTAAGGGGGAAAAGGGCAGTGGATTAGACGGGCTAGATCATGCCCAGAGATGTTAACTTGCCTGTAGTCAATACCCTTGCATTTGCAGGTGTGCCCTCAATTGACCTTATTAATATGTGGAACTCTTGTTGGAAACCTTATTTCAAAAACATTAAGCTCTGGTTGTTTGAAGAAGCTCTGACTATGGTGAAGTGTGCCTTATACTTGTATGGGGTATGTTTGGTGGGATGATGCAGAAAAGCTGAAACATTTTTCATGAGAGGCTTTTCTGCACTTCCAGTAGATAGAAATCAGAGGGCTGAATCAGACAGAAGACAATCAATGCTATAGCTGGCATATGAAATCAATACATTACTGGCAACTGCAGCTAGTTTTAGCTGAACCTCTGCTTTCCAGAGCAATCACTCCAAGTCCTGACTTAGTCATTTTCCAGATGAAATTGCATCAAGCTCTTAATCTGTATTGTCCCGGTTTGATGTTAGCCAGCTTGATATAGATAGTGGTTTCCTAGGAGGCTGACGGTTGTTGACTGATCCTGCTCAAGAACTCAAGAGCAAGTGCAAAGAGCTTGCCATAGAGAAGCCTTCTAGTCAGTGCTTTGCTTCTTTCCTGTATCCTCTTTCCGAAGCTGGTTCATGTGAGGGAACACCAACAAAGTTCACCCACCCTTCTGTATTTTAAAAGTACTGTGTATTTGTAATAGTTATTCTTTCAAGAACGAAGAGTGCCACCACTAAGTGACATTTTGAACACGAAGCCAAAAGCTGATACAACAATTCAGAAGCATACAAATTAAAGTCAATTGTAAAATGGATTTTCCATTCCATTAAAAATGTCAGGATTGAAAAATTTTGACATATAAAATATCATATTAAATATTCATATTAAATTAAGTGGGAACAAAAGCAAAACAACCCAGATATTGTGCAAAATTAAATTTAGAAAATAATTAATTTGCCCAAAATGTTTAAATCCAAATATTTTGTTTACATTTGGATCCTTTCTTTTATTTTTTTATTTCAAATTTAAGAATAGCAATGAATTTTGAAAAAAGAAACTTTTCATGCAGAAAATGTCAGAAACAAAGCACTTCTATAGTATGATGTTTTATTTAATTTCAACTGCTATTGTTGCCATTGTATTTTTATTATTTATTTAAATAATACCATTTATTTTTTATCATTTATTCAAATAGTTTGTCAAAATGAAATTTTCCAAAGTAAAATAGTTTAAACAAAAACTTTCAACCAACTCTAACATCACTAGGTATACTGTTGTCGTTTTCCTGGCTGGATTAGGAGTAGGTATATCTATCCATGACTACTATGGTCCTCTCTTTAAAAAATATTCTTGCAATCAGGTGAGTGACTAACCCCAGATACACTGTCTTAACAGAGGTCTTTTCACTGATAACAGTAGACTTCTGAGTTCAGCCCACAAATGGTTTGGCTAGATACTCCTACATACTTAAATAAAGGAAATGGAAAGGGAAAAATGCTCAGCATAGGGAAAAATGCTCAGCACAAAACTTTGCATGGCATGGGCTGCCTCACCTCTAAACCTCTGAGGGCTACTTGCCCACAGGAGCAGACTGCCTGTTCCTTTGCTGCATGGTGCTTTGTCCTGTCTCCTGTCCTGTGTGGTGCCTCTCCTGCCTATTACTATCTGGGGATGAGGACGCCGGTTCAAAGCAATTAAAAGGTGCTGTAGACTACCAAAGTGCTGTCTCTAATTTGGTGCTTGGTGCTTTCTTGGTATGACACAGGGTGTAGCACAAGATTGCATGGGAGTATGCGAAGTTGCAAGGACTGTGCAGGAAGGAAGAAGTCAAACTCAATGCAGTCTGGTCCTTGTCATCTGCTAGCAGAGATCACAAACTGTCATTTGGGCAGAGCTTGTTGGAGAAGTCCCAGAGAAAACTAGGTGTGGATTAATAGTTAAGCAGTGTCACCAGTCCAGAGGCTAGTGCTTAGTTTTTCCCTGGCCATCTTTTACTCGGCAGTATAAATCCTGTAATCTGGGCAAGACCCATATTTTAGGAAGTCTGGCAATTTAATTAGTGGGGAGTAGTGTCTAAATTTCTTCCTTTTCTCATCGAGCTGAACAGCTGTATCTCTACATGCATATCGCACTACGCCTTTATTCCCCAAATTTGTTTAATCTGTATTAGAAAGCTCTGTCAACAAAAAGGCAGCCAGCACAGTTTTAGAGGCAATATTTGTTTGGCAGACAATGTTCACTTGCCTATTTGTGTTGATCATTTTGTTCTCTCTGAGCTGTGGGAAGGCATCTCCATATTTGCTGCACTTCTGTCCTGTACTGATGTTTTATTGTGTACAGTGCCAGAAATGTCTCTTTCTGCGCCCTTTTCTCAAAGAATGGTGGCACTTTTAAGCCACACTTGCATAATCCTATTTTATTCACCCAGGAACTACTCCTTTTCATGCTATTTTCAGACTCTGTTGCAACACAGGTGTAGCACTATTCAGCAACTGCTTGCCTACCTTATTTAAAGAATGTTACTCACCAAATGTACCTGATTTAAAAACTATGCTTAACTCCACTAGCAGAATGCCTTTTCCAATTTTCTACACACTGCTAATGCGTGAACCATAACTGCACAGTACAGCTGCAATCTTGCCTTCTGCAGGCACATCCTAACAAACGATTTGCAGAACAAGTTGCAGGTCCCTGTGAATTCTTCAGAAGTTGGGTTTGTTTTAAAGTGAATAAGACATTATTCATAATATTTTTATTTTTTTTTCTAGAAATGCTGTTTCTAGAAAAACTTTGGAAGTCTAGTTGAAGACATGGGAGGTAGTTACCCGTAAGCACTCCATGTAACTTCAAGAGTGGAATAAGGAAGTAAAATGCTATGACCCAGATTTTAAATCTGAAGTACCAGAGACATAAAGATAGCTTGCTAATTTAGTTGTAATGAAGAGAAGGAATAGCAAAAGGAATTAAGGTGACTAGATAAAAAATCACAATTACCCACATGAGGAAGAGATTTCAGATAGCTGAAGCTCCTTTATCTAGTAGAAAAAAATCATCAAGGGATGCAGGCATTAGAAGCTGAAGCTAGGTAAACATGGGTGAGAAGCAGCAGATATGTTATTTATTTTATTTTATTGTAACGTGATTAATCGCTAACAGAGTTTACACAGGGACATTGTGGATTGTTTGGTGAGTCTGTCATGATGGTGACTCACATCATGGTCCCTTCCTCTCGACACAATTTTCAATATGTAGACTTCTGCCTTCAGCGCACTCTGATATGTAAACAATAACTCAACATTTATCCAGTAACTCTACTGCACATTTATGAATTTTAATCAACCATTGACACACTTACATAAAGTGAAACAAATGAACAGAGTTGACAAATGGGATTTTTGCCTGGAAAGGATTTTAGATTCATATTAATATTCAATTCCTCTCTAGGACTCTTGACATCAACAGTTTCAGCACTTGTATGGCTGTCTTGAGCCTACATGATTATTTTCTATAGCCCAAACAAGGAGTCCATTGTGCTCAGCATATAATAAAAAAGCAACTGCTGTTTCTGAGGGCTCACAATCTAAGGCAGAGAGAACAAATGGCTGGTAGATGAGGATCAGGTAAGTTTGAACTACGTTCAGTAAGGTAAGAGCACTGTTGATATAGCAGTTGACTAGCTGTTGGAGCCACATAACTGGGGGCTGTGCATGGATCTTTGGATGCAGCAGATAGATTTCTGTATTGAAGTGAATCCTCACAATTTGGATCATATATTTTTTAAAGCCATGCCTGGTTTTTCAGCTAATGTATTTTTCCCTTGGTCTCCCTGAATCACTCCCTGACCAAGCTCCCCTCAGGTAAAGGGCTTTGTGCCTTTGATTATTTCATGGCATTTGCTGCAGCCCAGTTTTCATCAGAGGTCTTTCCCAGCAGACTAACAGCCCCATGAATGAAATCAGCAGGGAGGCTCTTCATTATCACAATTCTGGCAGTGTCTGTCCTTTTATCACTGTACTGGTATCAATTATTTGGAACCACATTAAATAAATGAAGTCACTAACATGAATATGTCATGCCCAATTCATACAGAGGCTCATGAACTCTCTTTTAAAAAACCCTCCCTTTTATGCCTGCTGCTTCCCTTATGAATTTTTTGCAAGCTCTGACCTTAGACATTTCTCAATCACTGCAAGCATGCTTAGCTCAAGATTGAATACACATCCATTTCATATGGGTTAAGGGGGGTAAAATCATGAGAAAAGCAGATGGCATAGGAAAAAATGACTTTTCAAAGAAAGTTCAATGACCTCCATACAGATATGACATGTTAAAGTCACTGACTTCTTTTTAACTCAGCACTTGTGTATATATATTTAGTATTATATAATGTGCTTGTAAGGACAAAGCCTCTTCAGTGTTAGATCTACAATATTTATTGTAGAGTTCTGACTCACCTTTCTTGGGTGTAGCCCAGAGTCACCATCATACCAGAAATGACAATGAAATGGGACTGAATTGGCCAGTGCCCTTTGGTTGTTTGATGGGTCACAGCAGCATAATGATCGCTGTTTTCTGCAACTTAAAGACAGTCTTATTTATTTATTGTTTCTGCTGAATCAGAATTAGGCTTGGCAAAGACTGTTCTCTGAAAAAAAAATAAGAAAAAAAATAAGGAAGGAACTGAAGGAACTAAAAACTGTCTGGGATTTGGAGAGCATTTTTCTAAAGCATGATGTCTAACCAAAATGAACATATTTTGATCTTAAGTAATAAAAACATGTAAACATCTCACTGATGCATAGACTATTAACTGCAGAAATCCTAAAGTCATTTCACTATACTCATAACTTATCTGACCTGTTTTAGCAGAGAAGGAAATACACAGAACTGCAATGAGAAAGGAACTTTGGATTTTACTTTGCGCATAGTCAGAATAAAAATCCCTGAAACCTATGACCTTACTCAGAGTTGAATTACTGATAGATGGAAGTTGTAATGGGTAAATGCTTTGTGGGAGTGTTTGCAAACTCTGAAATTCCAATTCAGCCACACTCAAACATGTTTCAGCCACTTTTCCACTAACATTAATCAGAGTGGCTTTTGTTTAAAGGAATGTTGGAGAAAGGGTAGTGTAAATTCAAATACTCTTGCAAACACACTTCATTCAAACCTGCCTGAGAGGTGTTTTCTCTGCTTATAATTCATACAGCTGGAAGAATGGTATGTTTCTTAGGTGGCCGACTACACACCCAAAATAAGGAAGAGTAGATAGAAAATATAATTATAGTAAATACAGCTTGTAAATAAGTACAGTCAGAATACTGTCTAGTGAAATGATTATACAGCCTTTACCTCATGTTACCACCATTTGCATAGATGTTCAGTTCTTATGCACTCTACTTCTGAAAATTACAGTTAAAAATCCTGCCCTGTTACCAACAGAGACAAAAACATCGATCTCAAGATATTGGAGAGTAAGCAGGAATTTAGATCTATGACTTCACTAAGACTACTAGTGGTATGCAGATCTGAGCAAGTGTTTGCATCTTTACAAAAGTGAAGACTACGTTATAAGAAAAACAACAAAAAAGTGCCATTTTTTTAAGTGATCAGGAAGAAAGAAAGAAAAAAAAAAAAAAAGGTGGGGGGTGAGGGTGGGAATGGATTTCAGATTAGAAATACACAGCCAATGACTAGAAAAAAAGAAAAAAAAGAAAGAAAGAAAAAAAAGAGTTCTTAAAATGAACTTTTGGGCTTGGGTGCCTTTTATTTTATTTTTAACTGATTTCTTAAATGTAAAGAGAAACTGATTATTCACGTATCACCTCTGAAAACAAGCCTTCCATTTCCAGGTCATCAACCGGAATACTTTTGTAAGCTTGTTTCACTTGAGAGTTTCTAAAGAAACCATACAAGATGTCAATGCTCAAGATGTCAATGCTCTTTGTTCAGGAAGCAGAACTGAAGCACAGAGGTTACTTATCTCAGTCCTATGTCATATGATAACCAACTGGAAGAGTTTAAAATGAGAGACAACAATTTGTTACTCCAGTTTACCATCCTCCTCCCTCTAGATCACACTCTTTCTGTTTTCTGTAACATATAAATACAGTCCATTCACAAGTGATATTTTAAATGGGTATTTTGTGATGAGTTAAGCCATTTTTATAGCATTCATACCTCAAAGTTGTCCAGCTGTGACAGGGGTGTCAGAGCAAACCTTCTCTGTTGTTGTTTTGTTGACAGTCTCTTTGCATGTGCTGTCCAATAAGATATGTGCAGGAGATGTAACAGTCCTTCATCTAACATGCATTCCTGGCATCACCATGTTATTTCATGAAGACTGTCAGGTTTACACCACAATGACAAGAGAAAATGGTATCTGTTCAGGGGAGAAAGCAAAAGACAGATGAGCCAAGTATGCAGCTCACTCATGAGAAATTGTAGGTGTCTCTCAGTTTGGATATATTTCCACATATTCCTAAACTGTTCAGTATCATTTTACTCTATGATTGCCCTGCAAGTACTTGGCATTACTGCAAGGGAAACCCTGAAATCAACCCTTCTGAAAACCATGAATTAAAACAATCAGATAAATGCCATACTATGTATTAAACATAAAATGACACGTGACTGCCAGTACAGGTGAAAAGAATTTCCAGAAGACCCTAGTGCAATGCAGACTGCCACCTCCATTTGTTTCTGATTGTTATCACACTGCACAGATGCAATGATTGAGAATGAAACTTGAATTTGGTGCTAGAAGTCCACTGTAACATCAATCACTTGAAATAAAAATGTCATGCTTATGATTCTTTGGAAAATGCTGCACTTAACTTCCAAATTGTTGCTTTTAGAAAAAGCTAATTCAGGGTTGGGTACATTAATGTCAATGTCCTATAAAAGTGCCAGCTGAAAAAAATTGTCAGCAAAGACATTTTTTAAGCCTGTGTCAGCACAAAAGGGTGCCTCAGTTGTTTCATCTTACAACAGCTGCATGCTTTCATTGACATTTGTTGCCCTTTCTTTGTGCACTCATCCTAACCTCATAGGTTATTTCCTGGCCTCCCTTCTGTGACCTATGACCGATGATGACCTTTAGCTAGAGAATGTGACATTTTGTTCTCCTCTGGCTGACATGTGATGCCCTCATTATTCAAAGGTATGTGAAAATAATGACCTGCACTGACCTCTCAGTTTCCTTTCATTTATTGGTCTACACTAGGTGCTTGTTCAGCAGATTGCTGTGACTAGGTCCTGGGGTGTACAATTTCTTTTGAAGAAGGAAGCTCATGAACTGCACCAATGTTTTAGCATTTTGTGTTTGTTGCTCCAGTTGAGGAGTGGGAGGCAAGGTGGTGTGTGCATTTGTGAGAAGAGGGTTCCATTTGGTTTGGGCACTGGAGGCATCTTCATAAGACTGGCAAATATGACGAAAGACTTGTGCTCTTCTGGAGTGGCAGTTGAATCCCAGGCTGGATACCTACCTTAGGGCACCTCAGATACCAGCTTCCAGTGCATGAGTTAACAATTCGATTCCTTAGTTCTCAATCATCTGAATGAATGGATGACTAAGTAACCCGAGGAATTCAAAATGGGAGTGACTGCAGCTTTCCCACCACCAGGATTTCCAAATTTCCCCATTGTGACCACAATGGAAACACAGTCACAGATGCAAGTATTTCTTGTAACATGCTAACAGCGCTTTCTGGAGTAAGTCATTTTGCATTTCAAATTGTGGAAGTTTCAATGTTCTTCAGAAACGCAAGCCTGAACAGATTATTATTATTATTTTTTTCAAGAAGCAGATATTATCTCCTGTGAGGTGAGACGTGCCCTCATTGACTGTAGTAAATATTTCAAATGCTGAAAGTCTAAAGGAGGAACAAACCACTTCTGTGTGGGAGATTGTGATACCAATTAAGAATTTATTCAAGACTTAGCCAGCATGAATATTTAAACCTCCTTTCCTTGAAGAAAGGATGGTTACTTCAGGTCAGGGATGAGGGCATGTATGGAGCAGCATAAGGAACAGATGGCTGCTAAAGACAATTTCTGACTATAAATAGTTCCTATTAAGAATATAGAAATAATCAATTAGGAACTAAGCTCTGCTTCCTGTTGCATAGGAGCAGAGCAGCAGCAGAAAACGTTAACACATATGTCAGCATGTGTTTCTGGCTGGGAAAGAGATAGCAGGCCCTTTCCCACTGAAAGGTGGGAAGCTGCACTGGGTCTGAAGGTTAAGATGGAAGATTGTCAACTGCTCTTTAGAAAAGGTTTTAGATATTTGATATGCAGACCAGAAAATGAATAGAAAATGAGGATAAAGACTTTAACCTTTACTCAGCACTCTGTGCAGATGAATGCAGAAACTAGTGGCAAAGTCTTTTTGCCCTTTTGGTAAAGAGAAAGAAGGTGTGCTCCTCTACCTGGAGTTTGCAAAGAACTTCATGTGGAACTATGTCCACTAAAGGCGTAAAAGGTACCTGATGTCCAGACATAGACTTGCAAATTTGAAGGTCTGACCTGGGCACTGGGGGTTTCAGGCCAGACATTCATCCTGAATTGTAAGCCAATTGAACAGCCCATTGAAAGTTCAGGCTGACAACTACAGGATTGCAGTGAGGATTAGATTAGAGACCTAAAATACAGCCTGTTTTGGGTAAAAATAGAAGAGTTAGCATTCTGATGAAAGAAAGTCTTAGCTGTCTTGGTAAAATGTGCCACCTCTATATAGGTGGTCTAGCTATGGATATGACTTACATACCAATCGTAAGTGTGTGTCTTCATCTAAAGGAAATATAACTGAACATTTCTGAGAACCTGTCTCAAAATGGGTATCTTCTGTCTACCCATAACATCTTTGTTTTACTTGAACTCAGCTTTGTTCTATTGATCCCAACAGCAGGTCTGAGCAGAAGGCTGAAACCCAAGAGTGGCACATATAAAGGGGCACCTGTGACATACTACATCTGCTCGTCTGGTCATTTCACAAATGCCTCTGACATTGTGTTTTTGAGGACTAGATACTGATGGAATAATTGAAAGAAAAATAAAAGTTTGTAACTCTAATTAATAAGGGTTTTAACTCTGGGCCCTAGCTGGTACCAGGCAGTCCTCCTGCCCCAGCCTGACAGTGTTCCAAAGCCTGATGCCGAGCAGGGCTGTTACTTGAATCCTGCCATTCCACTTTGGCTGACAGCAAGTTTTGTACAGCTCACACGTGGAATGCTTTTAAAAGGACTCAGCTAAGGAATGGACCCACTTTTATTTGTGAGCCAAGCCCACATCAGATGTCAGGTTGCTTATGACCAATCACAAATGAACTAACCTACTACGGCAGCATTACTCTGGAAGGTTTCCTAGAAACCTTATAGAAATATTTTTATCTAGTGCCCAAAAGACTGTGACACATGAAATCAAGAGTTGCTTTTGACTACTGTGGCCAAGAAAGCTAACTTGCTTGTTTGGCAAGAGCATGAGTAAAAGGATAGCACAAAGGTAACCTTTAAAACCAAGAGCATGTTTAGACTTCATTATCTTTTATTTTCCCCCCACAAGCGCAGTCTCAGAAATATTCTATTTTTCTTGCCCTCTGCCTCATTTGCTTCTCATTGTTCAGGAGCTCATAGGGTTTCACTCCTCCCAAGATCCATAAATCATATGATTAACTTTCAGTCCAAGACTGTTTTATATGAGCAGAAATCTAATTGGAATACAATCACCCTCCTACTGCTTTTCACAGCTTTCTTTGCATCTCAATGTGATCTGAATTTCAGATATCTCTTCTTGTGAGATATTTATTTTTCTCCATCATGAGATGAACTGAATTGTGCTGCTATCTTTTTCTGCCCTTCCAAGCTCTGGCTGTAAATTAACCATTATCTGGCTGAAGTAAGTTCCTCTGGAGTTCATAAACAGTATTTCAGGATGATAGCTTCCAGGCTGGTTGTACAGGCACAAACAGTTCAGTCCCCTGAATATGAGGGGTTAATATCAGGTTCATTTTTCCTGTCTCAACTTGGGTACTTAAGGGAGAAGCTCTGCCTTAAGGAGATGGAGCACTGGATGGACTGAAGAAGAAGCAGAACTCCATTTGCAGATGCTGGATGAACTCTGGGTTGGGGAATCTGTGCATTATGCTTATGGGTTTTTAATTTATATTGATGGAGATTTGGTACAATCGAAAAATCCTACTGATTCTTGTCCTGTAATTTACAGACTTATGTTACTCTTACAAGAAAGAAAGTCAAAAACCTTTTGTTACTACCTTAGTGTTTAGGAAAACTGGCAGCCCAAAAGTCCTGAATACTAAGATACTACCTTTAACCATACAACCCACAAGCAGCACAAATTTTCCTTTAATTTCTCCCCTCCTCCTCTCCAAGACCTTCCACAGACCAAATAAGGCAAGTCTATGGGACATGAATCAAGCAATACTTGCCTCTTTTCTCCGATGCTGTTGGTGAGGGGATTTGTTTTTGTATGTATGTGCTGCTGATACAAACCTATAAAATAGGAAAAAATAAACAGAAAAATAAAAATAGAAACATAACATATAAATAGAAAAAAAAAAGAAATCTAGTCACTTTTATATAAGCAGGTATAAAATAGAAACAACTTAATTATTATCACATGACTGTGAATAGACAGTGAACACAAAAGTCATGATTCCGATAGCTCCATGAAAACTGCAAGATGATTCATCTTTCTGTCCACATTCCCTGGTCATTTACAACATGGACATGTCAGAAAACATCATCACAGCTTCTGCCCTCCCCTCTCTCATCCAGCAGACAGCGGGGTGCCATTTGAACCAAAGCAGAAAAGCACACACTGGATTTCATCCTGATGTGGAGTAGAGACAAGGCAAGATGCCAGCTCCACGTCCCACAGTTTAGACATAGATAATCAATCCATTAAGCAACTGACTGTCATTAAATAACTACATACCAAGCCCAGTTCTGCTTCTTATATTTTCAGCAGTACCACTTGCCTCAGCAGAACTACTTGTGCAAATATCTTGGTGCATCTGGCTTGCCAAGTGTCAGAAGAAACTCTTGCAACCAGTTACTTCTGAGTTTGAAGTAACATGGACGTTGAATTACATTTCTTATCTAAAGGAAAACTAATTAATAAAATGATTAAGCTATTAAATAAATGCATCTCAATTCACATCTGGCTGTGATTCACTGGCAGGTCAATTAATCAAAAAGAAATAGACTTTTTCTTTTTCTGGACCTTCACATGCATTGTTTTACAGTGCTGGAACTGTTCTCACTTAGGTTTTTAACAGACTGGGGGAAAGGAGGATCAGACAGCGTAGCAGATGGAGAAAAGTTATTCCCACTGATATGATGTGACACCT